ATTCATTGGCAAGTACGGTAAACCTTCCCCGTAAGGCTTACCGTAAAGAACTGTCCATCCCCCCCATGCTTAACGGAATAATATACAGCCTATGTCCATCCTGAAGTTCCATTCTAAATATTGGTGAAAAAATTTTTGAAATCGGATGAGTAGTTTTGGAAATTACCTGCTGCATCCAAACTTACATACATACAAACATACAAACATTACCTCTTTATTATATTAGTATAGATAACATATCAAACTGAAATTTAATCTATTTTTAGTTAGGAGAAAAGACAACAACATTTCAAAATGTAATATAATAAAATGATGACCGAAAAATAATAACTAAGAATGCATGATAGTTGTGGCTTTAATTCAATCATCTTACCCATTCTAAACTTCGTTAAACATATTCGAACGTACTATAGTATTTCATAATGATGTGTGCTTTGGTGAATAGTGGAAGACATCTCTCCATCATTTGCTACCTCTAATTGTTAAATGAGCGATCAATACTTGTGTGTTTATTATTGTTTTTTTAATATCTTACAATGATGTAATTATTTTTCAATATATTCTATTTGTCGTACAAAAATAAAATTTCTAAATTTGCCATGTTCAACTCGCAGCCTACTCAATGTTATCGTGGGGTTTTTTTTTAAAACAGTATTTATCATGTATATATTTTTTTTATAATAGAATGTCGCACGTATAGTTGAATACATTAATATAATGTACGATACCATATCACGTACACTGAAAAATCAAAACACTTTTTGCATATTTTTTAACAAAGCTTCAAATGTTTTACATATATTATAAATGTACGTATAGTACATACAGCATGCGTATTTATTTAATTACTGTGTTTACAACAACAAATGTTTTTAAATTTCAAATTCGGTATAATGAAATTATAGTTACTTAAAATTGTTTAATATGTGTAATAAATGTCAAACAATAAAGACATTCTTAAGTTACAAAGGTGTTTCGTGTTTCTGATGAACGATAAAAGATTTTATTGTTTTTGTTAAATTTTTTGAAAATAAACCAGCCATCTTTATACAGTTAATCTGTTTAGATACCTCTGCTAATTAACATATATTATATTGAGTAAAGAAGTGTTGAATTTATTATTTCCGCATTTTTAATTACCAAGAGCTTGTTGCTTTCGATCATGAATATATCAAAAAACGCATTGTCGCTGCAGCCAAATAAATTGTTTTAGAAGTCTTGATTTTCAGTCCAACCAGCCTGACGAATCATATTGTAGCGCAAAGAATTGATACTTTATCAAATGAAATTTGTTTAACACTGAACGTGGTCTTTCATTCGTTTGCGTATTTCTCACTGTCGTAGAATGAAGCAACAAATATTAAGGATACGTCTCAACATGTTTTCATTCGAAGCGAGTTTTATAGTTATGTCAATGTTACCATAGATTTTCTGGATGTTATGAGTATGAAAGGCACAAGTAACGAAAAAAATAAATAAGAAACTCTCATTAAATGCTTGCATGATCATGAACAAAAATTACTATAGCTATTTTTCAAAATATGCACAATAAATCACTAATTCACTAACAAAAACTTCAAGANGGAGTCTGGATGCTTCGGATCTGTCGAAGAACTCCTCGAATTTGGACTAGATTTCCTTTATATTGCCTGAATTTCGACCAATCATCGTCCAGTAACTCTTTCGTGAGAACGGACGAAAGGGGGATGAATGAGGGGTAACCATTTCCCATCTGAGCGAGATTTTTAACCAGATACGGAAAAACAGAGGATGTTCTCTTCTGTGAAAGGAAGTAGCATCTGTTATCTGGTTTTTCCACGTCTAAAACACCAGTTTTTTTCACAAAAACGAAGTAATATTTTGTGTCGATAATTTAATATTATCAATAAAAATTCATATATTAGACCCAGAACCTTTCGGATCTCACAATATGAAAATATACTTAATATTTTCATAAGTCCACTTAACATTGTTGAAAAACAAGCTGTAGCATAGCTGCAGGTAGATTTAACATATCTCCACTCATTTTCTGAATTGAAATATATGTTTTAGACCGTGTGAATAAGAATATAACAGTGTGAATAAGAATATAACAGTGTGAATAAAGAAATTTAGCGTCAAAAATGAATTAAGTATAACTATATTTAGCACAACTGACGATCAGATCTAAATTACTTCATAAAAGAATCGCTTTGACTGATTCTTTTCGTGTTGCATACATTACTTTAATATTAGGATTTCCCTGTTTGAAATTTTTGAAACTGAGCACTCACAAACACAGTGAGAAATCGACGATGCATAACGTTTATCTCTTCACGCTTGATTCAGTTTCGAAACGGTGACAGTTGTTATAGGTTGATCGGTCTACTTTCAGCTTTTGAAAAGTTACTTACATAAAAAAGTTTCTGGTCCGATTTTTCAAACTTAATGTTCATCGATATTGTAAGTTATACTTCCGTGTACTCTTAAGACTTATCACACTTATAAAAATTGTTTCCACATAAACACCGAAACAATTTGCTGGTTGTTTACGTCTATTTAATATGCACTTCGAACTGTTTATTTACTCTTCTGTCCAAACTTGTTGCTTCACGATGTAATGGTTATAATCTTCAACTTTCTTTAATTTTCATTACGATATTGAATATATATTTCGCTACGTCGTTTCTATTGTTTTTACAATAAATATGAATAAACTTGAAACTTCTCAAGCAACTATTTTCAACAGAGAAAAAATTATAACTGTTTTAAATTCACATCTAATAAAGTAAAACAGTCAAAACAGTTATATGTAGTCCAAGTTATAACTTTTCCAAAACTTGTCTTAAGTCCATATACCACAAGCAAGTATGTAAGCTAGATAGACATTTCATTCCGATGCCATGCAACTAATGAGTGTTTTAAATTATATTACTTTTACAAAAAAAGCCGCGATCGTATAATGTATAATAATATTGTAGTCAGTGCAATTTTTTAGGATCAGCGTAAATCTAATGCGCAGCTCCGAAAATTATTCACCTGTAATGTCAGGGCATTCTATCTGATAACAAAGGCGTTTGAAGTAGACTGGCCGGATTTGCGCCATAATAGGAATGAAGAAATCCCTTCAGGGGGACTTACGTGTGCAGTCAAGCGGATACAGGTTGACAAAACTAATCGCTCATCGCTCACGTAACACTATGTGCATAGCATTAGCCGTTTTTATTATAAAATTGTAAATTTTCCGCCACTGATTATCAGAAATTATGATTTATCTGTTATTTTTATATTTTTCATTCTTTATAACGTTTTATTTACTTTATTTTCCTGTAATTAGAGACAATACAGCTTTAAAATAAACAGATCAGGTGTCATTTGCCAATAGATGATTTCAACTTTCAACGATTATCGTCGGTTCCCTTGTAATCGGAAAAGAATAGAATGTGTTTCAACAACTGCTCCCCACTTGTTATTTTTAGTAACTAGAGAAGGGTAAGATCGTCTGTCAAGATCGGTTAAAGTTTATTACTTTCGCAACAGGGTGTCACGTAAGCAGCCGCCCAATCTCCACCATTAATGACAACAAAGTGCTAAGTGTCTTATTACTCTGTAAACAAAAACTGTTTTCCCTGTCTGAAGTGGGTCAGATGTCAAGGTTATTTTTTTATTGTATTGAACAGAATGTTGTCTTTGATATTGAAAAATCAGTTTTGTCAAAACTGTTTACTTTTAATAATTTTATTATAATTTATTTCCGTTACGGTTATAAAATTGTTTTTATCCTATTTTAAATCGATTTGTTATAAATTATACTATTTCTATATTATTTATTTTTTTTTTATTTTTTTTTAATTATTTTTTAAGCAAATGTGGCCTGAGCTACGAATGGCAGCTTCCCACGCAACACAGAACTTCTACGGAAAACCATCATTGCAGGCGTAAAGTTGCCTCTAAAGTTATTCGAGAAAGATGACATCAGAAACTATTTTCGACATATTAAAACAAAATAAATATACACACTTTTTTAAATTTATAATGAATATTTATTTCAATAATCAAAAGCATGATTTTTTTCTAAGCATGATTTCCGAAGCAAAAATAAATGATAAGAAAGGTATTAAAAGTAAACAGTTCTGACCAAACTGATTCTTAAAAATCAAAGACAACATTCTGTTCAATACAATAAAAAAATAACCTTGACATCTGACCCACTTCAGACAGGGAAAAGAGTTTTTGTTTACAGAGTAATAAGACACTTAGCACTTTGTTGTCATTAACGGTGGAGAGTGGGTTGCTGCTCACGTGACACCCTGTTGCAAAAGTAATAAACTTTAACCGCTCTTGACAGACAATCTTACCCTTATCTATTACTAAAAATAACAAGTCGGGAGCAGTTGTTTACACAGTAATAAAACACTTGGCGGTTTATTGTGTCTACTCGTATTACTGCAAAAGCAATAAACACTTAACACTGGACTTTGAAACACGTTCTATTCTTCTCCGATTACAAAGGAATTGACGACAATCGTTGAAAGTTGAGATTATCTATTGGCAAACTACACCTGATCTGTTTATTTTAAAGCTGTATCGTCTCTAATTACAGGAAAATAAAGTAAATAAAACGTTATAAAAAATGAAAAGTATGAAAATAACAGATTAAATCATAATTACTAATAATCAGTGGCTAAAAATTTACAATTTTAAAATAAAAACAGCTGATGCTACGCACGTAGTGTTACGTAAGCGATGAGCGATTAGTTTTGTCAACCTGTATCACGCTTGACTGCACACGTAAATCCCCCTGAATGGATTTACTCATTTTTATTATGGCGCAAATCTGGCCAGTCTACTTCAAATGCTTTTGTTAACAGATAGAATGCCCTCACATTACAGGTGATTAATTTTCGAAGCTGTGCATTAGATTTACGCTGAGCCTAAAAAATCGAACTGAGCTGTACATTTTCGCATATAAAAAAACAAAATTTGCGTCTCGCTTTTATATATGTATGTTCAATTTGAAATTCAAAATTGGTATAACAAGACATGTGAATAATTAGTTTGAAAGGCTGTTATTTATAATACGCATATACTTTGCAATTCAATTTTTTCTTCTACATAACTGTAAACTAACAAACAAACTTACCTATACACATATTATAGTAGTCATCGAACGTTTTACTTCTATCTGTACAGACACACTCATCCCCAATACCGTAGTTGATACATTCTGTTCCAGGTTTATGTTTGCATTTCTGTTCATCCTCGCATGGACCTGCAGATAAAAAGTAAATTTATTACATATATGTTTGTAAGTCAATTAATGTATCGCAAAATTTTAACACTTAGCGATTCAGCTTGTTTACTTTATTGTTACACTATTGGTTACATATATAACGCTCAACATGAAATACTAACCGCAATCAGACCGGCTTTTTAAATCAATTTAATAGCAATCTATCAAGAAACACAATTCTTAAAAAAAAACACATTACGCACTTTCCTCTGTATACAAACTTTTCAAATATAAATATTTAAAAAATAGTGACATTGTCAACATTTCAATAAAACTGATGTCAGCCAATATATTATAGTTCACTTTTCTCGAATTGACATAAGCGTAGATCTCGCTTTCAAGCATATTAATCAGTATAAATCTGTTTTAATAAATAATAACATAGTAATTTAAACACAAATTATTATTGTATTTATTTCAAGCACTTGGCAATTTTTATCATCAATATAACATATTTAAAATGGAATATTCTAAGATAAAAAACAGGACAAGTCAAGAAATACATATATCTGCAGAATTAGCCGAATTAAAAAAGAAGTTTCTCCTGGCAGGCTACCCACAAAGACTAGTGAAAAAATGGGAACTTAAGATAAATAATTCTAAAACACAATTGGATAATAAAAAAACAAATAGCATTAAGTATATTGGATTTCCATATATTAAAGGATTACGCGAACAAATTGATAAGGAAATAAGCAATATACACTTTAAGTTGGCACCGTCATACCAAAAAATGTATACAAGAGTAAAGCAGTTCAAAAATGAGAAAAAACAACAACCACCAACAGAAACTAAGAATGTCGTGTATAAAATTCATTGTACTTGTAGCAATAATAAATATTATATAGGAGAAACAAAAAGGAAGTTGAAAACTAGATTAAAAGAACATATAGCAGATCTGAAATACAATAGACTAAATTCTGCCTTCTATGATCATTGCACCATGAATGATTGTACAATAGATAAAGATAATATACAAATACTCCACAAAGAAAAAGAAGCATATAGTAGAAAATTTAAAGAAAGCGTAGAAATTCTCAAAAGCAAAAAATGCATAAACAAAAATCTAAGTATTAAAATTAATGAAAACTGGCTAAATATCTTATAATATTCAGAAAAGATAATTTATGTAAATATATAAGAGAATCCATATAAAAAAAAGGTTTTTAAAATATTTTAGATAATACGAAAGCGTACGTTTCTTAAAATAAAGTGTGTTAAAGGCAAAGAAGTTTTTGTAATTCCATAACAACAAGAAAACATAGGCGATGGAAATTTGTGCTTTTAATATCTTGATAACCTGTAAATTGAAAAGGTATGTTTTTTAAAAAAACAATACCTAATATCTTTATAATTTTATAGTGTTGTAACTTGTGAATATTTAGTGTTGTAACTTATGAACTTTTGTTTTTAGTTGGCTGAAGAGGGGCAATAAATGCCCGAAACGTGTGTAAATAATATCAACACGTATCAACTAAATAAAATTTGATGATAAAAATTGCCAAGTGCCTGAAATAAATACAATAATAATTTGTGTTTAAATTACTACTAATAACTACTAGCACGGTTTCAAAGTACCAAATAATAATATATCAACTGAAATTTAATCTATTTTAGGTTAGGAGAAAAGACAACAACATTTCAAGATGTAATATGATAAAATGATGACCGAAAAATAATAACTAAAAAGGCATGATAGTTGTGGATTTAATTCAATTATCTTACCCATTCTAAACCTCGTTAAACATATTCGAACGTATTATAGTATTTCATAATGATGTGTGCTTTGGTGAAAAGTGAGAGACATCTCTCCATCATTTGCTACCTCTAATTGTTAAATGAGCGATCAATACTTGTGTGTTTATTATTGTTTTTTTAATATCTTACAATGATGTAATTATTTTTCAATATATTCTATTTGTCGTACAAAAATAAAATTTCTAAATTTGCCATGTTCAACTCGCAGCCTACTCAATGTTATCGTGGGGTTTTTTTTTAAAACAGTATTTATCATGTATATATTTTTTTTATAATAGAATGTCGCACGTATAGTTGAATACATTAATATAATGTACGATACCATATCACGTACACTGAAAAATCAAAACACTTTTTGCATATTTTTTAACAAAGCTTCAAATGTTTTACATATATTATAAATGTACGTATAGTACATACAGCATGCGTATTTATTTAATTACTGTGTTTACAACAACAAATGTTTTTAAATTTCAAATTCGGTATAATGAAATTATAGTTACTTAAAATTGTTTAATATGTGTAATAAATGTCAAACAATAAAGACATTCTTAAGTTACAAAGGTGTTTCGTGTTTCTGATGAACGATAAAAGATTTTATTGTTTTTGTTAAATTTTTTGAAAATAAACCAGCCATCTTTATACAGTTAATCTGTTTAGATACCTCTGCTAATTAACATATATTATATTGAGTAAAGAAGTGTTGAATTTATTATTTCCGCATTTTTAATTACCAAGAGCTTGTTGCTTTCGATCATGAATATATCAAAAAACGCATTGTCGCTGCAGCCAAATAAATTGTTTTAGAAGTCTTGATTTTCAGTCCAACCAGCCTGACGAATCATATTGTAGCGCAAAGAATTGATACTTTATCAAATGAAATTTGTTTAACACTGAACGTGGTCTTTCATTCGTTTGCGTATTTCTCACTGTCGTAGAATGAAGCAACAAATATTAAGGATACGTCTCAACATGTTTTCATTCGAAGCGAGTTTTATAGTTATGTCAATGTTACCATAGATTTTCTGGATGTTATGAGTATGAAAGGCACAAGTAACGAAAAAAATAAATAAGAAACTCTCATTAAATGCTTGCATGATCATGAACAAAAATTACTATAGCTATTTTTCAAAATATGCACAATAAATCACTAATTCACTAACAAAAACTTCAAGAAAAATTTTCATATTAAAAATATATGAAAATATACTTAATATTTTCATAAGTCCACTTAACATTGTTGAAAAACAAGCTGTAGCAAAGCTGCAGGTCGATTTAACACATCTCCACTCATTTTCTGAATTGAAATATATGTTTTAGACCGATGACAAAGTTCAGTTTCATACAGAACACGTTTGTAATAATAAATTCTTAAACCTAAAAACAATCGCATTACAGCTTCAATGGATATCAACTATCTTTGTAAATATTTTTTCTCGCAATTGAAGATTGTTAATGTGAAAGTCATAACAGATTGACAGATAAACACTTTATAAACTAACTATGTTGTACAACTTCAAAAATACCTGTTTATTTTTTAAAAATTTACAGAAAAAATTGAAAACCAAGTTACTTTAAAACACAACAAAATACTGAATAACTGTACATGTTTTGTTGTAAATAAATATGTGCTGCCGGCAGTGTATTTATATTTTTGGCTTCGTCCCATTAAACAATCTTGATTGAACTACACTGGTTTAAACAATGGTCATTGTCTGTTCGCAATCATTTAGTGAATTAATTAATTAGACAAATAGTAAATGTTTCAATGCAAAAAAACCGATGTATACTGAGAGCACATTCGTTTCAATAGAAACCTATCAAGTTTTTGCATATAAGTACATCCAGAAAAAAGCTAAAATCACGTAGCTTTGATACAACATAGCAACGTTCAATAAGTTAATACCTAATAACTACAACATAATAAATACTATTTTGGTTTTTTATTACTGTATAATATATAAAGTAATGTAATTTAAGTGAAATGGTCCTGGCTATAGACGAGACTTTGTAAGTAACAAATATCACAAATACCATTAATTTTGCCTTCCGTTAGAAACATTAACATTTTTAATTAATAAAAGTCAGTTAGGTTATAAAAATAATAACGTTTTTTACAAGTTAAGCGACAAATACACTTTATGTGTTCAGTCAANTTTTCCTGTAATTAGAGACAATACAGCTTTAAAATAAACAGATCAGGTGTCATTTGCCAATAGATGATTTCAACTTTCAACGATTATCGTCGGTTCCCTTGTAATCGGAAAAGAATAGAATGTGTTTCAACAACTGCTCCCCACTTGTTATTTTTAGTAACTAGAGAAGGGTAAGATCGTCTGTCAAGATCGGTTAAAGTTTATTACTTTCGCAACAGGGTGTCACGTAAGCAGCCGCCCAATCTCCACCATTAATGACAACAAAGTGCTAAGTGTCTTATTACTCTGTAAACAAAAACTGTTTTCCCTGTCTGAAGTGGGTCAGATGTCAAGGTTATTTTTTTATTGTATTGAACAGAATGTTGTCTTTGATATTGAAAAATCAGTTTTGTCAAAACTGTTTACTTTTAATAATTTTATTATAATTTATTTCCGTTACGGTTATAAAATTGTTTTTATCCTATTTTAAATCGATTTGTTATAAATTATACTATTTCTATATTATTTATTTTTTTTTTATTTTTTTTTAATTATTTTTTAAGCAAATGTGGCCTGAGCTACGAATGGCAGCTTCCCACGCAACACAGAACTTCTACGGAAAACCATCATTGCAGGCGTAAAGTTGCCTCTAAAGTTATTCGAGAAAGATGACATCAGAAACTATTTTCGACATATTAAAACAAAATAAATATACACACTTTTTTAAATTTATAATGAATATTTATTTCAATAATCAAAAGCATGATTTTTTTCTAAGCATGATTTCCGAAGCAAAAATAAATGATAAGAAAGGTATTAAAAGTAAACAGTTCTGACCAAACTGATTCTTAAAAATCAAAGACAACATTCTGTTCAATACAATAAAAAAATAACCTTGACATCTGACCCACTTCAGACAGGGAAAAGAGTTTTTGTTTACAGAGTAATAAGACACTTAGCACTTTGTTGTCATTAACGGTGGAGAGTGGGTTGCTGCTCACGTGACACCCTGTTGCAAAAGTAATAAACTTTAACCGCTCTTGACAGACAATCTTACCCTTATCTATTACTAAAAATAACAAGTCGGGAGCAGTTGTTTACACAGTAATAAAACACTTGGCGGTTTATTGTGTCTACTCGTATTACTGCAAAAGCAATAAACACTTAACACTGGACTTTGAAACACGTTCTATTCTTCTCCGATTACAAAGGAATTGACGACAATCGTTGAAAGTTGAGATTATCTATTGGCAAACTACACCTGATCTGTTTATTTTAAAGCTGTATCGTCTCTAATTACAGGAAAATAAAGTAAATAAAACGTTATAAAAAATGAAAAGTATGAAAATAACAGATTAAATCATAATTACTAATAATCAGTGGCTAAAAATTTACAATTTTAAAATAAAAACAGCTGATGCTACGCACGTAGTGTTACGTAAGCGATGAGCGATTAGTTTTGTCAACCTGTATCACGCTTGACTGCACACGTAAATCCCCCTGAATGGATTTACTCATTTTTATTATGGCGCAAATCTGGCCAGTCTACTTCAAATGCTTTTGTTAACAGATAGAATGCCCTCACATTACAGGTGATTAATTTTCGAAGCTGTGCATTAGATTTACGCTGAGCCTAAAAAATCGAACTGAGCTGTACATTTTCGCATATAAAAAAACAAAATTTGCGTCTCGCTTTTATATATGTATGTTCAATTTGAAATTCAAAATTGGTATAACAAGACATGTGAATAATTAGTTTGAAAGGCTGTTATTTATAATACGCATATACTTTGCAATTCAATTTTTTCTTCTACATAACTGTAAACTAACAAACAAACTTACCTATACACATATTATAGTAGTCATCGAACGTTTTACTTCTATCTGTACAGACACACTCATCCCCAATACCGTAGTTGATACATTCTGTTCCAGGTTTATGTTTGCATTTCTGTTCATCCTCGCATGGACCTGCAGATAAAAAGTAAATTTATTACATAAATGTTTGTAAATCAATTAATGTATCGCAAAATTTTAACACTTAGCGATTCAGCTTGTTTACTTTATTGTTACACTATTGGTTACATATATAACGCTCAACATGAAATACTAACCGCAATCAGACCGGCTTTTTAAATCAATTTAATAGCAATCTATCAAGAAACACAATTCTTAAAAAAAAACACATTACGCACTTTCCTCTGTATACAAACTTTTCAAATATAAATATTTAAAAAATAGTGACATTGTCAACATTTCAATAAAACTGATGTCAGCCAATATATTATAGTTCACTTTTCTCGAATTGACATAAGCGTAGATCTCGCTTTCAAGCATATTAATCAGTATAAATCTGTTTTAATAAATAATAACATAGTAATTTAAACACAAATTATTATTGTATTTATTTCAAGCACTTGGCAATTTTTATCATCAATATAACATATTTAAAATGGAATATTCTAAGATAAAAAACAGGACAAGTCAAGAAATACATATATCCGCAGATTTAGCCGAATTAAAAAAGAAGTTTCTCCTGGCAGGCTACCCACAAAGACTAGTGAAAAAATGGGAACTTAAGATAAATAATCCTAAAACACAACAGGTTAATAAGAAAACAAATAGCATTAAGTATATTGGATTTCCATATATTAAAGGATTACACGAACAAATTGATAATGAAATAAGCAATATGCACTTTAAGTTAGCACCGTCATACCAAAAAATGTATACAAAATTAAAACAATTCGAAAATGAGAAAAAACAACAACCACCAACAGAAACTAAGAACGTTGTGTATAAAATTCATTGTACTTGTAGCAATAATAAATATTACATAGGAGAAACAAAAAGGAAGCTAAAAACTAGATTAAAAGAACATATAGCGGATCTGAAATACAATAGACTAAATTCCGCCTTCCATGATCATTGCACCATGAATGATTGTACAATAGATAAAGATAATATACAAATACTCCACAAAGAAAAAGAAACATATAGTAGAAAGTTTAAAGAAAGTGTAGAAATTCTCAAAAGCAAAAAATGCATAAATAAAAATCTAAGTATTAAAATTAATGAAAACTGGCTAAATATCTTATAATCTGCAGAAACGATAATTTATGTAGAAGGTAATTTCTTGAAATATTTTATGTAAACAGGATTTTTAGAATGAGGTATTTTCTTGAAAAGAAATAATTTGTATAAAAAAGACATTTTAGGATAAAAAGTAATACTGCCACAAGGTGGCCTGCTAGTCATATGACTATAGTAACCAGTGGTACGCTTAACTGGGGGAAAGAAGAGGGGGAGGAGAG